TTTTGTAGTGAAGAACTGCGGAGGAGAACTGCGGCTGATCCGAGGTGGCTAGAGGAACGTGTCAACATGTTTTAGCATGATTGAGGCGGAGTCCTGTAACTCGTGTGGCGGAGTTCTAACAGAAATTGGACTCGCAAAGCAACCTTGACGGAGAGGACGTCGGCTGAGCGAGCAGGTCTGAGTCAGTTTTATTCCTAAAATGGGGAGAAGAGGATTGTCGTAGCGACATCGCACCCGAGCTTCATCAGGCCTGCAACGAAAACTTTAACCGGTACCGGACAGTGTGTGTGTGAGTGAGAGTATGGGCCCATGTGCGATATTGTGCTTAAAACTGTAAATTCCGGCAAATGTATGGAGTTATGTTAGTGACAAAAGTTGAATTCTGGTTATATTGAAACAACAATTCAAAAGAAAAGTTTTGTCAAAAAAAAAAAAGTCAAAAAAAAAGTAAAAAAAAAAAGGTTTATTTTTCCAAGTTCTTATTAAAAGAAACTATTCAGTTAACTGGTTGTCTGGAGTTAATTGTGTTACTTTAAATGAGTGTATGGCAACTGGACGAGTAAGGATTTACTCAACATAGGTAAACCTGCGTGGTATCTACCAGAACTTAACAAACCCAAATAGCCACTCCACCAGTGAGTTTAAGTTCTCATCCCAGTTAATAGCAGACAGAGTAGTGGGGTGCTACATACATTTTTCCTACGAAAATATAATAAAAAAAGAACATGAGTTCCACACTTGTATTTATCACAGTTTGAGAACCACAGTCAAATTTAATTAATACATTTTGTATAACAAGCATTTGTATCACTGTAATCAAAGTTTGTTCTTAAAACCTCAATCAATTTACTTCTACCCGGTCAAAGAAAAATGTCAAGTTTTGAAATGTGAAAGACAGCAACACAATTTAACAGCTTGATCATGCAGCAGTTGCTTGGTAGGTAGGAGCTGGTAAACTGATCCTCTACCAAAACCTCTCTACGTCAATATGCTCAGAAGCCAATGAACCTCTTGAAAGCTGTGCTGCTGTTATCATTTAGCGTCAGGATCTCGAGCCAGGAAAAACGTGTCTCTCAGTTGTGGCGAGGGTCTGCGGTATGGCAGCTTTTTCTGTGCATGCTTCACTCTGTGCATATTTATTTCTGATTAACTACTGGAAGTGCTCCTTGGGGAAAAAGTCAACTCCTGAAGACATTAAGGGGACAGCTGTACAGCGCTGTTTCAAAGCAAAAAGGAGTGAGAATCAACGTTTAGGACAGCTTAATGCTATTTGAAAAGTGCCTTTGATTTAAAGGTTTGAAGGTTGTACTTCAAATGAGTCATGAATAGAAACGCAACTAATGCTCAATGCATCTTCAATAAAGATACAATAGCATCAAAGTGGGAAAAATGAGACTAATGGAAAAATGTGTTGTTCTCTTTTTTTTTGAGAGTTTTATTGTGCCAAATATATGCTATTTCATATTTATTGCTCCATGTCCTCATTACATGAGGACTACAATATAATTTTATGATGCATTAAAAATAGTCATTTCAGCAGCTAGTGTTAAACATTATCTCAACATTGGCCCTAATTGTGTAATTATTGGTTTTTACTCCAACCATTAAGATAGAAAAAGCTAAAAAAAAAAATGTCAACAGCACATGAGGTCTCAAATTTTCATTCGGGGAAAAAACAGTTCAACATGGACAAAACTACATCTGTGGACTTACTCTGATAATACTCTTATCTAGCTGCATTGGAAGATGATTAGTAATGACATAACAATAACAATAATACAGGTAGAATTTTAAAGATTTAGCCAATATCTCCATGGCCAAAGTAAGAGCCACAGGACTTTCAGATCTAGCTCCCCAGCTTTTCATACTATATTAAGCTGACAGTTTTTGTCATTTAAACAGTCATCTACACGGGATTCCAATTAAAATGATGTCATACATATTAACATTAGCTACATCAAAATTTAAAAGATTAACAGCATGTCTAAAGCAGTGCTAGGCTAATGACTCCCAAAAATTGTAATTGTAGCTTGTGTTTTTCTGATACTGATAACCTTTCCTCTCAGGCATTAACTTGTTCAGGTTACATTTGTAGCTTATTGGAAACACAGGCAGGAGAAAGTGATACAGAAGAGGAATAAACCTATATAAAATCCTGTTCCGTTGTGGTTGTGATTTCTAGCATCGAAAGGAAATGCGATCATGTGCAAACTTGGCTTCTATATTGGTGCTGTTTTTAACCAGGGAACCCCTAGAATAAGTTATTTTTAATCTCAATGAGACCTAAATAAATAAAAGTTGCAAACCAAAACGAAATTTGTTTTTAAAGATCCCTGTGTATTCAGTTATGTGCAAAATAAACTGCGATTGAAAGAAGCCAAATCTTTTGAGTGCGGACGAAAGGTGCAAATGGCTCAGAAAATGTCAGTATTAACAAAAGTGTGAACAGGACTTTGACCAAGCCTGTGCAGAGCCCTGACAGAAACTCCATCAAACACCTTCAGGACACATAGAATGAGCTGCAGCCATGTGGTCTTACCAATCATTTGGGGTAAACATCAGTAAGACTTTTTTAGCCTAAAGACTGTTCTCTCTCTGATGCCATCTCTCTCTCTCTCCCAAACCTCAAAACTGGTGTAAAGAGAGGAGATATAAAGTTTCAACACCAACTTCTATTTGAGCAGTTCAAGTCGTATATCATATCATATAAAAACAAAGAATAAAGACAATGCTGCATATTTAAGCAGGAATTTAGCTAATTAGATGCATTTTCAAAGAGTAACCACACTGCCACCCTCTTATTATCTCCAGACATTAAGCTCATAACATAATAGTTTATTAACACTGCACATTAATGAAAAGGCATACTGTAATGTTTTACTCATTTCACAGGAATTCTAATTACATGTTTTCGTTGTGTAACTGAGAATGGCTGTAATGTCTTGAGTATGACAGTTTGGCCTGCTGGTGCATGGCTGGTGCTCATAATTAAAACTAGGGATGCTGTGCAACTTGGACATGTAAGCAGAAAAGAGAGGGGTCCCACCTTTTCATGGATATAGTCGTTAATATGGAGGAATTTAGAACATTCACTATAATTGGCCCATGTTTTGTTGACTGAGACGAGCTTCCACGTTCCATTGCTGTCACAGCGACGGTATGCCAGTCCTACATACCAGAAGGATAAGAAAAAAACAACAAAAAACATTAGGTTTTAATTATAGATTCAAGCTGCATAATCAACCAAGTCTCACAGGAGAAATATGTGAAACATCAGTACACTATTCTAAAAATCACAAAGTGCAGCATGTTTTACAAGCAAGCGTTTTGTATTATTATTTGTGTTTAGGATAGTGGATACATAAAATAAAACCTGCAGAAAATTATGTACAGTCATGTGAAAAAAGGGCATTATGATTGCCTGTAGGTTTTTCTAACATTGTTAGACATATAGATATCTTATATAAAATGTACCAATATTGAAAAATTCAAGTACTATAAATGAACTATGAAAATGTCATTTTCAGTTATTTTTGTAAAGGGCAAAAATGCCTTTTTTTAATGAGAAAAAAGCATTCTGAAAGAGGCATGCCAATTTTAAATCACTTACATTTAATTTGGTATCCTGCTGGCTTAAAATGAGCTCATGAATCTGGTAAAAAAGACTTAAAGACTCCAAAAAACCTTGAATTTGTTCACATTAATTCTCATAAACGTAAAATCAGAGACAGCGCAAATTTAAATCCAGAATCCCCAATGAATAATGAGGAGCTAATTAGACTGAATTAGTAAATGGAGACCAAGTTCAATATATGAAAGGTCCAATTTACATGTAAATTAAGAAAAGGGTTTCCTATAGAATGAAAAAAGTCACAACTCTGCAGACCAAGTCCTACCTTTGTGATTGAAGTCATGAATGTAGTCTGGACACAATGTGAACACAAGGTCTCCAGGATGTCCTTCAGGCCAGCACACAATGCCATCCCACTCTGGTGAACAAAAGCCATCTGAGGACAAAAACAACATTGACTTTAAAAAAACAAAACAAAAAAAAAGACCACAAAGCTCTGCTCTCTTATGATGACAGTATTGTAACAAATCTCAACTAACATACAGAAGAGCAGCAGCTCTGTTCGTTTTTTTTAAGGGTTGTGTTTTCATTTTAAAATGTAGGCCAGTTGCTCGACTTGTGTGTTTATGTAAATTAGAAGCAACCGTGTAATTTGCGGTGCGTCTGACAGTAAATAAGACTTTTTTTTTTTTTGTCGAGTCAAAGGAAAGTAGGGGTCATTCAATGAAACACACACTCTCACACTACTTCCCATTTGTTGCAACATAATCAACGTGTTCCCAGTATGTTGACAACAAGGTGCCAATTGAATCGAGTGTGTTTGTTAAGGGTTTATCAGTTGTGCCAAGTTTCCATGAGTGCTTTATTGTTTTGAGAATCAAACAAGTTTTCTATTGTATAGAAATGATTTCAGCATGGATCTCATTTATAAACTTTTTTCTGCAAAACTGGCTGCATAATAGCACTCTAAGTGGACTATTATGGATAAATTAAATTACTGTGTGACATAGGTTACTTCTAGGTCTATCCATTTATCCAGCTATTGAGAGATAGTCTGATAAATAGAAAGCCTGTTGATCCCAGGATGTAATAGTGGGAGTAGCATTCTTTTCTCCACAAAATCATGGCAAAATTCCCTCTCAAGGCTTGGCATTTATGTTGTCTTATTGAAAACATCTGACCACTCTGACCACTAATAAGTAGCTGTACATAAAACTTAAATGATCCCGTCTTTGCAGCAGATCCATTATTTTCTCATTCCTTGAGTGAGTTGCAAAGAACCATGTGACGCTACAGCGACTTGCATTTTATTCGTTTGTCACTGAGAGCATGAAATTAAAGGGCAGACTTTGTGGAGCTGACTGATTCCTGTAGATCTTTGGTGGGAAAAAAACATAGTTTAGTTTCAAAAATCACTCTGACCACACATCCTGGAAGTAAAAGTAGAAAAGCTGCTTTCCTTTTGCCATAGATGTTATTACCATAAAGACCACCTACTTACAGGCTTAAATTAAACTCCAAAAAAACACACACACACAAGTGTGCAATTTCCCGTAAATTTCTTGACCACGATTTAAATATAAACGTGACTACGAAGGAGTTTGGGTATTAGTGATGTCACTGGGGGTTTTAGAAAGTTTTCTTTCCCCCCCCCCCCCTCACCCATTTGATTCCAAGCTGCAGATGTCAAAACACATTTTGCATTTTCTCCTCATACATACGGTTTTTTATAATGATCCCCGGTGTTGTTCTACACCCAAAACCACAAGCTTCAGGGCTGAGCTATTTTCACACTGGCAAGGTCTGGGGATTTGATCCCACATCCCTCCACTGTCCTCTCCAGGCAAACCTCAGTGCTCCCCCTCAAGGAAAACATTGTCTCAGCAATGTAATGATGACTTTTGTCTATTTAAAGAATCCAAATCAAATGAAACTCTATCAAACCATTGCAGAAAAATGAAGAAAAAGGTCAAATGTATATATAATATGCAGCGCTTTGTGAAAGCACTCCTACTCTGTAAACCTCTTCAGTTATTTTCACATTGCATCCACAAACCGGAATTTCATGTGAAAAAATTAAAACAAAACAGTGATAAGAAATGAAAATAAACATGGTACTGAACAATTTGTATTTACTTATTCATTTATTCTAATTAAACAACTACCATCAAACCCACATGGATACCCTTTCATCCACTGTTGCTTAGGTTGTGTGTTTGAGGTTGTCCTATTAGAAGTGGAACCACTTTAACCAGTTTGCGTGAGACATTCTGTAACAAATCTTTCAGGTCTTCATAAAACAGCTGGATTTACATACAGAACAGATTACACAAGTGGAATAATTAGATGACTGGAAGGCAATTGGTTGTACTCAATTTTATGTAGAGGTATGAATGCAAAAGATTTTGACCACAGCTGTATGCCACAGGTTTTGGATTTTCATAGCTGGAACATTTTAAAAGCCATGTGCTGTTTTCTTTCCGTCTCATTTCACGTCTGTAATTCTATACAATGCCAATAAAATACATTTAAGTTTGTGGTCATATGTGAAAAATTTCTAACAGTATAAAACCCTTTTGCAAGGCAATAAACATCATTTGAAATATCGGAAACTAGAGATAATCTCTATCAGGGATTAAAGATGAAAAATCCAGGCAGATGCATCCTATGTGAAAGCCACAGGGAGCAGAAGGGCCACAAAGAACCATGACTAAATAAGCCTCTGCACTTCTTGTACCACCAACAGATTAAAGAACTGGCTGATATTAAGAAATCCTTAAAGTGGATTGGAAAAGTACTAATAGATGCGATGGAGGCAATGACCTTGGTACATAAATGTGCAGAACCCAAGAACATTTTTAGAGATCTCTGCTCATAGGGAAAAACCTTTGGATGACGAGCATAGCCCTCACGTTTCCCAGTGATCTGGTAGAGAACCCTGAGGTTCAAGAGAGGAAATAATTTCCAAATGTCGAGTGCTAGGACTTAGCCAGGTCATCAGAAAGCAAAAGCAATGTTTTTACAGGAATTTATCAGAAGATCTTACAAGTCTACATAACTTTGTACTATAAAATTAGAGCAGAAGTTTTTTTTCCTGCCTTCCATTTTAAATAACTAGAAAATGCCAGATGTGGCTTTTAAAATCAAATGAAGCAAAGTCAGAGCCATTATCTTGGGAGAAAAACAAAACAAAATAAAAAAAATAAAAAATCCAATCACGTACTTTAAGCAAGCATGTAGTTTGTGTTTATCCAGGCATATGACACAAGCTCGTCAGAGAAATGTTTTTCTGGTCATTAAGGAAACATGCTTAGTCTAATTTCTTCAGTTGTTTTGTTTTTAAACTGACATGTTCAACCTTCCAAAAGAGGTCAGAAAGCATACATGCCAGATGAATCACAAACAGTGTAGCACAGAGTCATTGTGTATGCAGGGTCAGCTCTCGTATACCGATGCTCTGATGTACCCTGAAACCAGAGCCTCCAGCATTAAACAGAGCTTCTGTCAGGATATTACTGCAACGTTTACTTATTTCACTATGTGAAAGGAGTGTATAATGTTTTATGCTTTATGTGTGTTATGTGTATTAATCATACTCAAACCTTCCTTTCTATTAATTATGCTTTTAGGCTTTGAGTTAATGGAAACATGATATCTAATTTCCTAGAAGTTTAGAAGATTATATCGGCCACCTAAATAAACTGTTTATAACACAGCAGTGTCATCTAAATGTAATAATAGTTTCTAAAAGGTTATTTTTAAAATATATGTTTAATATGACCCCAAAAAAGCCTAATCAGAACACCTATTCTAATTTATAGCAGACACTATAGGTTCCCTGTCCATTTATTTAGTGCTGAACCTTCTTTCTGCCTGCTTTTGTTTCTTCCACCACAACCCATGCCACTAACAATTATTTCCAATTTTCTTTAAAATATGCCATGTTATTGGAAGTCGAAAACTAGAGCTCAAAGGCTGTTACCGAGATGCCTGTCAAATGGCATCATCCAAGGGCTGATCTGGGATTTTCACATGCAACTCACAGGTTTACAGAAAATGGTTCAGGAAGGAAAAAATGGGGGCAAAAATGCTTTGTTGGTGTCAGAAGTCAGAGAAGAATGAGCATGCAGGTTGGAGATGATAAAAACACCACAGCAGCTCAGATAACCAGTTATAACAACCGAGGTACACAACATAAAAGCCCAACATGTCAAAACCTAAAGCAAAAGCTCATACTCGGGTACGAGCAGGAAACTAAGAGTACACAGCTCACACAGGTCCAACAAACATTCCTAATGTTACAGAAATGTCCATTTTAACTGTACATTTCAGATAGCAAGAATTTGATGTAAACTTCATTAAAATATTCTGCTTCGTATCTACGGTTCAGGCTGTTGGTAATGGTTTAATAGCATGTGGTGTAATTTTTACTTTGAACACTTTTTGCTGCTTAGAACAAATTGAGCATTGTTCAAATGCTGCAGCCTGCCAGAGTACTGCTGCTGACCATGTTGCTCTCTTTATGACCACAGTGTCCGCATCCTATATTGTCTGCCTCCAGCAGGATATCTTGTCACGTAGCTCAATCCAATAAAGCACTTTCAGGACTTTATGGAACAGAAGATTTGCATCATTGATGTGCAATCGACAAATCTGCAGAAACTGCTGTGTGATGCTGTCACGTCAGTATGGATTAAAATCTGGTTCATTTAGAGTTTAAGCATTTTTCTTCTGTTATGGTCAGATTTGATTCATAACTATTTTTTCCCGACAAAGGGGATTTGGTTAAAGCTTTGATATAATCTACCAGCCAGGAGTCATTGCTGTGCAGTAAACTGCTTCACCTACGACACTAAGTAGTATAATGGATTGCACTTATATGTCTTTTAAACTAGATTTTCTTTTGTACTCTAATAAACACATCTATTTAGAGAGCGATGGTACGCCAAGCCTGGTATGTAAAAATAATCCATCTAGCCAACCATGGTCTACCAGCTTATGCTTGAAGCTTTACAGAGGAGCTGGTGCCTATGTCCCTCAGTCAGAGGGTAAGAGGAGGGTACATCCTGGACCATTCACACACACACAGACACACACAATCCAATCTCTTAAAATTCCCCTTTGGAAATTTTGAGAGATAAATTGAACTAATAACATGCAGGTCCTTGGACTGGGAACAAGCTTATGCCTGGCTCACACAGCAAGATTTCCAACAATCTTAAAAATGTCCTAATTGTCAGAATGGCTCTTAAAATAATCTTAGATGATTATCTGTTGGAATATCTCAACATATTCCTGCTGTGTGCTAAGAGTGATCTGATCCGCTCTGAGGGACATTGGGACGACTCCGATCTAAAATTGGGGAAATCCGACATGCTTGATTGTCCTGGCCCAATATTGCAGTGTGTGGAGTGTCCCCCTATCGACAAACAAGAATGCAGCCTGTTGAATGTGATGTGTAAGCAATGAGAAAGCGAGGTGACAGAAACACAGAAAATAAGTAATTACTATCGCACAACAGACAGTATAGCCTCTTTCTATTTTTTCTCTTTATGTCACAAACTATCACCATTGCTTCTTTCCTGTCAGTCATGTTTGTTAACTCTGAATTTATGTTTGACCTCAAGAGGTTTTGCGAGAATTCCCATCCGATATCTGAATGTTGGTGAGTGAAATCGGTTTAAGTGGAATGTGTTGCTCCTGCAATCAGTCAATTGCAGACAATTTTAAAATTTAGCCTTGTGATTCAGGCAGTAAATACTCAGAGAGACGCCACATATGCAAACTTCTTGCAGAAAGACACCAGACAGATTTAAAACAACTTTACCCTTTTGTTTTTTGTTTTTTTTTTTTTTGCATTTTTTAATGCAGGTCTCTGTTTAGCACGCAGGTATTCTCTTGCAAATTCTTTAGAAGAAAACTAAAAATTTATCTGTACCTGACTGGTTAAATAAACTGACATATGCAATCTTTGTCAAGATTGTACAAAATGTAATGGTACCCGGAAGCTTGTTTTTAAAATGGTATATGCTGGAGGCTGATAACAGACAAACATCACTTGAAATGCCAAAATAGATTAAGAACATTGGCGTTCATATGATAAACAGATTGATCAAAGAATGTTTACATTTGACAGACTATGTGTGCATCTTTGAACACTTGGAACAAGCTCTCCACAACTTTTGGCTTTACTAGTAAAGGTCAGTGCAAAACAGTTTATCATATTAGCAGTTTATGATGAATATGATGTTTAAACATTCAACATACACTTCACGTCAAATAACTTAAGTTAACTTTCATACACTAGTCATAGTCTACTACAAAAAATATAGATAATTGACTGCAGCTAAGCAACCAATGTGAAGCCACTAAGTTTTTTTTCTCTCTTTTTATTTTCTTGACAATTTTGAAAATTGATGCATTGTCACATATTTCTTTTATTTTTTATGCCATGTTCCAACTTTGTCTAAAATATTGGTAAATTTTAATGCTGAATGTTATATGTCTACTGGCTCCACTGGGATCAGAAGTGGGTAAAATCTCATAATAATTAAGAGTAAACATTACTTTCATCAATTTTGAAAGTAATGTTCAAAATTAATGAACATTTTACATCAATTTCATTACATCACTACATTATTTTTTTAGAAAGAAGTGTCATTTTTTCTAAAAGAAAAAAAAAACATCAAAACCAACAGATAAAATAATAAATGATAAACTGTCTATTAAAACACAAGACTACCAATACAGTTTATATACACTTTATTATATAGGTTAGAAATGGATTTGAGGTTAACTTTATTTTTATTTTTTTTCCAAGTTTATGTAACTAATACAAGATTTATTGGTTTTAAGACTATATATACACATCAGCTCAAAAAGTGTGGAGGATTCTTGACTAAACAAAAGATGCTGTTCAGTTGCTAAAGTTCTCAGTGTAAGCATGACTTTTTAAATCTAATATAAGATTCATGGGCTTTTATGAAAACCATGAAATGTTGGGTAATACCCCGGAAGGAATGTGACCACAGGGGAGAGTCAACAATAGCTTTTTTTTTTTTTTTTTTTTTTGGGAATGGTATGTTTTTAATTATACGTTTCATTTACAAAGAATATCGTTTTGAGGGTCAAAGAATTTAATGCCGACCTCATTATTCTGAGGTTTCAAATATAGTATTACAAATGACTTGGTTGTAAAACCCTTAGTCTTTGCTGAACAATCAGATGATAATAATGCAGCAACCACCGATGCAGCATGGTGGAAAATGTTCTTCTCTGGATGGCCATAAGCACAAATACACTACAGGATTGACTTCAATTTCAGTTTCAGGAAAGGCAGAGGGGGGGAAATGCAAACAAAGGGATATCATTTATAAACCATATAACTGCTGGGCAAGTTCTAAGATGACTTTTGGATTTGGATATTGGTACATATTGGAAAATGTTGTTTAACTTATTCCAAAAATATTTGTCAGCCAAAAAATTGAAAAATGCCAAGGTGGCTGTTGAAAAGAGTTTAGGTTCGCACAAAAGCCTGTCACTTGTTTCACTTCTCCCAGAAAGAGAGTCAGTGCTCTATCCAGATCAATGATGTATTTTTGAATTGAATTTAAGCTGAATTAAAGAAGGCTGCTGGTTCTGGGGACTACTGTTGAGCCTCTTCAGATGAAGAGGCAACAAAGGATTTTACATAAATCAAGAAAATTATGAACAATCCTGAGCGTCCTCTTCATGATAGAGTTCCTTCTGTCGGAAGCTTCTTCAAATTTGTTGTAATACGGAACATTACATGAGATTTTTCCTGCTCTGGAGTTGGCATGGAGATGAATGACATGAAATTATAATTCTTAGTAATTGCAGATAATCATCAGTCTTGTAACTATACATACAAATGAACATATTGTCATAAAGTGCAACAGCACAGCTAACAGTGCCTATGTAGCGTATTCATAATGGCTTCTACAGCAACATAAGAAAAGAGCAACGCTTTGCATTTCATTTTTGGATAGGAAAATATTAGCATCAGGAGATATTTAAATGTAGAAAAATGGGTCTGAACCCAAAAGCATATAGAGGTTTGATAAAATGAAGATACTCACTGAAGGATCAGAAACCCAAAATCAAAGAGCCAGACTCTACTCACCGGGTATCTTACCCCTTGACTTGATGTTATCTTCACATTTTTTCTTAGCTTCGACCAGCAGGTCAATCTGCTCCTCTTTTGTCAGCACATCATCTGCATAAACCTGCAAAAGAGAGCAATGAAGAGGACTTAGTAAAGGAATAACTCTAACACTAAGTACTACCAGTGTGGAAAATCTTGTGGAAAATAGCTTCTACAAGAAACAAAGATTATCCTCCGTTTCCTGAAGGCCAGATTACACTGACCACATAGAAGGACAAATCAAAGGGAGTCCAGTGCTGTATTTATTTCTGTCTTTGATGCCATAAAGAATAAATATGAAAATGCCCTATCAGACAGACTCTTCCTCTTGGATAAACAGTGTTCACATATTGTTTATTGCTGCAGCTTGTGTTGTGGTTGCTGTGTCCACTGTTTCTGTGTGTGCATGATGAAAGTCAAAACTGACAACATGTATTCCTAAAAGCTTTTTCACAGTTATGCATTTTGAGCTTTTGAGCTATGTAATGACGATTGACGTGGAGCCTCAGGTGCGGTTTTCCAGTCAAGGAAACATTTTTCATTCTAATGGGTTACACTGACTGACTTGCTGTTTGCTCGCGGATCACTTGTAGGCAGTGACAAATGTGACTGCTTTGTAGGCAGCAACATTCATTTCTAACAGAGCGTGACAAGAAAGGTTGAAATAAAAACATAAATATGATCACCGGGTGCTGAAGATTAAAGGACAGATAAGAACAAATGAGTATACTTTTTAATATTGCTTTTTCAAGACTTTTTTTTCCATTTTGTTTGGAGGGCAAAGGTGACGTTTCCACACAGAGCAATGGAAATAAGAACCTCTGTGTTGCATCCAAAGTCTGGGGAAATTGTTGAAAATAGTTTTAGAGAAAATTCATCCTTAAAAAGATAAAGAAAATTTGTTTTTAAGACATAGCTAAAATAAGAATAGGAAAATAATTTATTTAGGAAAATGAACAGGGATAAAATGTATACTGGAGATGCATTAAAGTCAATTAGTTTAAAATTGTGTAGGTTAAACTAAACACACTGAAGCCTTAGAGTGTCATTCAAAAGCATGATTACCAGTTAAACTGATAGAGCATCACAAAGTAGTACAGCTTAAGTAAGTGGAAGGATAATTACTCTTAGCTTTCAAAATGTTTTACAAATAAAAACACATCAACACTCATCAATCCTGAACCAATACATTCTAAAACCATCTCTTCTTTGAATTTGAGCCGGAAGTCTTTA